CTGAAAATAGTGAAAACCTGGAAACAATTTAAATGTCTAATATTTGGGATATGGTTTAAGTAAGCTATAATACGTCTTTACAATACAAAGATATATTACATTTACTTAAAACTTATCCCAAACATTGTAGCCTCACACCCCACTCTTCAATTATTCACTGTAGCCTCACACCCCATTTAAATGATACTGTGAAGGTTAAAAGAATATGGATTCTAAAACCTGATTTCTTGGGTTTGCAGCCTGACTGTGGACTTACTACCTGTTAGATGTTGGTAAAGTTTCTGAAATTCTCGGTGCCTCAGCTTTCTTTTTCCTTTTTTTTTTACTTATGCCTTGCTGTTCATGTACAACTCAGTGTCTCAGCTTCTTTCTGAAGATAATGGTGTAGTATTATGCCTTCCTCATGGGGAACTTACCAGGTACTCGTCAAATATTACCTATTGGTAGATAAGCAGTTACCAAGCAGGAAAGTCATGTATTACTTCTTATTAAATAGAAATCACGGGTTAACAAAAGTCTGTACAATATGACAATGTACTTTATTTTAAAAGATCCTTTTAGAATGTCTAGACCAGTGATTCCCAAACTGTGTGCCAAGGCATCCTGGGGCACTGCAGTGAATTCACAGTAACCCCTATCCCAGGATATTCTAAAATTTTTAGGGAAACACAATGACACACCTTTGGACACTGGGAACTACATACTACCATTAAGGTGTTTGGACTAAACTACATGGTAAACATAATTTATTTTGGTCTAAAATGCTAGACAAATTTACTGAAACACTGAGCATGCCATGAACAAAGAAAGTATGAGAACCTCTAATCTAGCCTGTGGACATATACCAAGGTGTTAATGTTACTGAGAGGTGGGGTTATATGTGCTTCACATTTTTTGTCTTCTGATTTACCTAGACTTTCTAATTTTCTACAGTGAACATTTTTTTTTAATTAAGACAATTTCTTTCTGAATCTATCTGTGCCACAACCATTTATTAAGCACTCTTTCATGTCTGTCTCTGGGCTGGACACAGGAAGACAAAGATGCCACACTCTCAAGGAGCACATACTTGAGGGTAAGTCAGGAATGTAAACAAATAATTGCTGTTCAGCAGAGCAGGCTCTGAGACAGCGGTGGTGCCGAATGGAGTGGGAGCTCCGAGATCTGCTTTGGGAGATTAGTGCCAAGTTAGGCACATCTTGCAGGATAAAGGAGACTTCCAACTGGAAATGGAAAAGGGGTAGAAGAATGTTCCTCCTTGTGGCTTGTGGGTGGAGGCTTGGATACATTTGGTGGTGGGGTAAAAGACTGGAAAGGCAGGCAAGGTTAGAATGGGAAGGTTTCGGTGGGGCGTGCCTTGGACTGAGCAGTTAAGTCGTATAGGACAGAAAAACACTGACAGGTTTTAAGCAGGGGAGTGTTATAAATGTTGTGCTGTGAAAGGATCACTCTGGCAGCACTGCGGAGACAGCACTGGGAGGCTGGGGGAGGGGACCAGCCAGGAGGATTTTGTAATAGCCCAGGAAAGAGGTCATGAAGCCCCAGTTGGCTAACAACAGATTATGTAATGGGCCCCTGTGGACCAAATCAGCAAAAGCAAATGGTCCAGATGTAGAACGTTGTTCATCTCAAAATATGTTGGTATCTTTCAAAGTAAAAACTTTTTTTTTCTGGTGATAAAGCTAATACATGTTCAATAGAGAAATTTGGAAACTATAGAAATGTACAAAGAAGAAAATGAAAGCATCCATAATCCCATGAACTAGAGCTATGTGTGTATGTACATATACTGTATATGAGAGGTAAAAATTAAATATTACATTTATATTTAAGTGCTGATTTAGAAATCTCATATGCATAGTTTATTTAAACTATGTGCATATGGTAAAATCTAACTTAGAGAAGGATAAAAACTAAAAAAGAAATATTGAATGTTTACCACATGCTAGGCACAAAACATAATAACTTATATCTATTTGGTTATTTAATTCTCACAACAACCTTGCAAGAAAGGTTGCTGTGAGACATATGCAGACCTCTGCATATACATTCTGCCATTTTACCGATAAGTGAATCGAAGTACAGAAAGATGAATGTGACTTGCTGAAGGTTCAGTACTCATAAGTGTCAGAGCTGGGATTTGAAATGAAACTAAGTTGTTTTTTCTCCAGGGCCTATACCATGAAATCATGATGGAGCAATTTTGAATGATACATTTAAACTTCTATTGTTTGATTTATTGACTTTACAAGGTGACTCCTGACACTTTACTGCAGCGTTGTCCCACTGAACTTTTCTGCAGTGATGGTGAGGGACATATTCAATATCTGTTCAGTCTAGTACAGTAGCCACTAGCCACATGTAGCCAGCTGTTGAGCACTGCAAATGCTGCTACTGTGAACAAGAGACTGCATTTTAAATTTTAATTAATTTAAATTTAAATGACCAGCTGCAGCTAGTGGCAGCCCATGGGACAGCGCAGATATCCATAAGATAAAAAAAAAAAATGAATACCTCATCCCTTGCTCATACTCTCTGTTCTAGTAATCATGGGTAACCAACTTTATTTCTCATTTCAGTCCTTTCCCATGATCATCTCTAAGCCCACAAAACATGACTATATTTATATTTCTTGATTTACCTAATTGAACATTATATTGTCCATACTGTGCAAGACGAGGAGTTATTTTATGTACACCTCTCCCACAACCCTCTCTTCTCATTCTTATGAATTTATTTCTATCATTGGTTACCTATAAATTTCAGTTATTAGTTAAGATTCTTCTGATTGCAAGTGGGATTAAAAAAAGCCAAATCCATCTGATTTCAGCAATACAAAGGGAATTTATTGGCTCATATATACAAGATCAGAGGCAGAACTAGCATTAGATCATGCTAAGTTGAGAGCTCAATGTGAGCGGGACTTGATTTCAGCTCAGCTGTCTTTAGTCTGCAAGCTTCATCTTCAAGTTCTATGTGGTGACCACAGCTGTAGCTCTGGCTTCATATCATCTTAAATTCTAGAATAGCAGGAAAGTAAGCATGTATCTTTCTTGTCATGCTATTTAACTGTGGCCACAATGATGCTCAGTTACACACACACACACACAGTCTCTCTCTCTCTCTCTCTCTCTCTCTCTCTCTCTCTCTCAGTGGTCACAACAATAAGCATTTACTTCATGTGTGTATGTGTAGGTGGGATGAGGTCAGATTATCAGATGATCTAGGCTTGGTGGGGGTTCTGCTGATCTTGGTAGGAGCTGCTCAGACTTCTGAGGTCAGCTGGGAGTGTCAAACGATTTAGGCTAATTTAGGCTGAGCTTGTCTGGACATCTCTGCTGATCTTGCTTACTCTTCTGGGCTAGTGTAGCTCATCTCTGTTCCATACGTCTCTTATCTTCTTTCCTGGGACCAGTGACCCACCCTAAGCATATTCTCATGATGATGACAGAAGCACAAGAGCACAAGACTGGCTGCACAAACACTTGTTAACGTATGCTGTGTCATGTCGGCTAACATCTTATTAGCCAAAGAAAGCCACATGACTGTACCTCAAACCAACTGAATGGAGAAGTACTCTCCTCCCATGGGAGTGAGAAGGAGGCAGAGAATATTTCTGAACAATAATTTTCTATACCACTTAAGCAGATGGGGTTGGCTTGCTCATTTCAAAACAAGTGATGTGGCCAAGGGCATAGGTTGTATGCTTTGGCCTAGACCTAGATCCCATATCCCATCATGGGTGTAGAGTTACATTCAGATTTGCCCAAAGCATCTGAGCTAAGAGTAGAGAAGGAAGGCTTACCTTGCATCAAGGTCAGGGTTCTGCTAGCTACACATAGGGGAAATGGATATGAGATGGCATACCACAGTAACACTTATAACTTTAAACAATAGACTTACACTTTTATTTCTTGAACCTTGGTGTTAGATAGTATCCTTTGACACCAAACTCATAACAGTTCTCTTTCATTCCCCATTTCCACTTTGTCAGCTTAATTATTCTTGCTATTTTTATATTTATGAATGAAGAACTAGGTGATTAACAATGGTGGCTGGGTGTCAGGTGCAGCTCCCTGACACTGAGTAGGTGTCTCCTCAGTAAGCGTAACTGAGGTTGGTGGCTGGCTGTGCATGTGGGTGGGATGTGTCAACCACAAGCTTCCCTTTAGGATGCAAGCACAGAGCATCATGCAAATGACTTTCTTTTCACCTCAAAACACCAAAACAGAGGGCTTCACTGTGGAACGCCAGATCCCATACAACAAACCTTAGCTTTCCCCTGGGAGATACCTTATTTTCTTAGTAGATCAGGTCTTGGGGAAGGAATGTGGGTTTCTGAATCCCCTCTTACTGTTCCATCTGCATGCATGGGAAAGGAGGGGAGAGATGCCAAAGGTCACGGTGCGGCCATTCTCTGACAACCTGCCATTAATCGCTTGGTTTTTGCTCCTCTTTCCATTCCTGAGTTCTGAATCTGTTCATGTCCAATGTGAAGATTCCTCAAGGCTTCTTTGGAAAGAACATTTCAGCCTTTCTGCAGCCTCCTCCTGAGTACATCTGGGGTGCCGCTTTCTCTGCTCATTCATCTATCCACACTGTTCACTTTCTTTCCATCTTCCAGAAAAGTATCAAAATGTCTGCGGATGGTTTCCTTTTCTGACTTCAGCATGGTTATGAATTTATTCCCTTAACTGACTCTTGAGCAGAATTTTGAAAAGGAGTGTAGATAAATGCATGCATCCAGTCCACCATCTTGAACACACACACGCATATATATATAATATTGTGTGGGTATATAAATGTGTGTGTATGTGGGTGCACGCACATGTGTTTTTTTTTTAAACAACATTAGATCTTGCCAGTTACATTTTCGCTGCTAGCTTAATTGAATACCCTTCCAGAAGAGTTTTGAAAGCTGTTTCTTAAAACCACTTGGGGAAAACAGGGATCTTCTTCTCACTGTATTATTATTTTTTAATAACATTAGCTGAGTTTTTGGTGTCTTTTTTTGGTACCTGAATGAATACAGTTCAGTGATGATATGATCTGTTACATAGAAATTAGTTTAAATTGCACTTAAAAATAAGAAAAGGTATGTTGATTCTAACCTCTGCAGGTCAGCATTGGCTTTACCTATGTTTGTTGTTGTTGTTGTTATTTGTTTTTCATGCTCAACAATCCTAAACCATACACTCTTATCAAGGTAGAGCATTCACTTCAAATCCTGAGAGTAGCTGGTGGAGAATGGGCCTGGAATGAGAGTGGGTAAATGACCCATGAAGGAAATGACTATCTTACGTTGTACCTAAAACCTAACTAATAAATATGTATCTGTTATTGTTAGTACTATGTATACATTTACTGTATGCCAAGAGTATTCAAAATATATGGTTCTACTGAGGATGGCTAAAACACACATAGATTGAGGGAGGGTTTCTGTCTAGTGGGCTTCAAACTGAAAAGATGCACAGCATTGAGATAGACACTTTCCAGGAGAAAACCATGACTCACATGGGGATGACTTCAATGGCATCTGGTTTCCATCTTCTTTGTTTCTTCCCTTGGACTCCATTCAGAGGCACTTCCTTCCAGCTGGAGCTTTTAATGGCATAATCTGAAAGCAAGATCCACAGAAGTGGGTTTACAGGAGGGACTTGAAGAAGAAAATGCAGATCATCAGGGGGAGACGATGGAAAATTACACCCAGATGGGAGGGAACAGAGAATGTACACACATCCAGACTAAAATACACCAATTAAAATATTTAGGGAAATGCAGAGTGGTGTATGATTTTTAATATAGGGTAACAAAAATTTGAACGGAATAAAAAGGCAAAGTGACATAGTCCTGATTGCAATTAGCACATTAATGCAATTTCTGTTTCTAGCCTGGGAAAATATGTCAGTTCTCTTTATTTAAATGAATGGAACATGGTGCTGCTTGTAGTCTTGCTGTGACTTATTCATTCTACACACTAGCTCCATTCATGATGGCAGTACCTTTCTTTTCCTTTCAGAACTGGAAAGGTGTGGGTGAACCTCGCCTGGTGTGCCAAAATGACCTGGAATTGGAGGTAAAGCCACCACCTGAGTGGGTGGGTTGGCCCTGGTTACAATAACCAGCAGCCCATTCGAGTCCATACAAGAGAGACTGGAAGGGGTGGAGTGAGCCATGGGTTTCTGTATGAAAATTTGCATCCTCACATTCTCCTCCTCCCAAACCGTCATTAGCAAGGAGGAAAGTCTGTTTCATCTTTTAAAATGAGGGTCCATTATATTCTGTACCTATTCTTCCTATATATGATGTTCCTTTTAACTGGATATTACCGGATTTGAGTGATTTGCCACTGGTCTTATTCTCTTCTCTACCCCCAAACAGCTCTTGAGAGAGGTCATATCACTGGAGGTAGGCGCTGATGGCAATGGAGGCTGAAACAATGGTTGTGGTTCTTCTGTACATTGCGGCAGTCAGAGCTGATCCAAGTTGAGAATAAGTAAAAAAAAATTTTTTTTGAGTACTTGTCCAAGTACCTGCAGAGATATATTTTAATGAGTAGTACTTCAGTCCCCCTTTTAAGTGTTAGGGATGCATTCAAGACCCACAGTAGGTGCCTGAAACTATGGGTAGTACTGAACTTTTTACATGTTTTTTCCTGAACTTACATACCTGTGATAAAGTTTAGTTTATGAATTAGGCACAGGAAGAGATTAACAACAATAACTGATAATAAAACAGAACAGTTACAACAATATACTGTAATAAAAGTTGTCAGTGTGGTCTCTCCTTGTCTCCTAAAATATCTGATTGTATTGTATTCACCTATTCTGGGGCCATGGTCAACCACGGGTAACTTAAACCTAGAAAAGTAAAACCTCAGGTAAGTGGGAACTACTGTACACAAATCGGTAATACGAGACAGATTGCTGTATGTCCTAAGAGAGACACAAATTGGGCTAACAAGAACAATAGAGGTTAGTTCTGATGTGGTGTTGGGAGGCAGGAGTGCATTTTGGAAGGGTCAGAGTTGAAAGGACAATGTGGAAATGTATGGGGAGGATTCTTTACCTCATTGGTTTGGCTAAATCCAGGGCAGCATTGGCTTTACATATAGACGAGGGGTCCACGAACTCAGACGCTCATAGGGGCCAGACAGGCCCCATAAATACGTGAATCTGTCCAGGTGTGAAGCAATTGGGAGTGCTGGAACCAGTGATAGAAGGAGGGGCGGAAAGATCTTCAACTTCACGTTAAAAATTCAAGAAATTCATGTTGTTGTCTGCAGATTTTCTCTGTCCTACAGAGGCTTCCCTGTGCCTCTACATTCGGACTCAACTCCTCCACCCCAGAGAGAGACCCAAGCTTCCTCCCAAAGGCACAATCATATTTGCATGACTAAAAGAATCTTCCAGGGCCCATCCTCCCAAAAATATGAGCAAGCAGGCCTTAAAGACAAGTACACATCTCCACTGTGGAAGATGGGAGTCTTTAAAGGGCAGTTTCATCAGCTTCCGCAGGGCGTTCTATCACATGTGGGCCAAGAGCCCAGCGCTGGAGGAGCTGGTAGAGCTGGCTGAGTCTCCTGTGATTTTTCCAGGACTGCCAGTTGGAGGGGGAGGAGGAGAGCTTCAACCAGAGCAGCTGCTTCACGGGTTGAGCTCCTGAGCAAAGTCTTGTCTGAACAGGGAAAGGCCTCTGAGCATCTTTATGACACAGATGGGGAAACTCCATCCCCGCTCTTCAGACGGGGGCTTGGGGGGATGTGCCGCCTGGGCTTTCCTGACCGTGTTCCACACGGAGCTTTTCCCTTTCGCGCACAGTGTATCCATCCCACCCCCTCTCCCATTCTAGTAAATACAAGGCCTTGGAGGTAGCTGCTCAATAAGGATAACTTAGTGAAGTCACATCAGTCGTGATTAAACTCACAGCTTGCTGTGGAATTTTCCAGAATTGAATAATGACAATCCCGGACTTCAGTGTGCTCCACAAGTACCACATACGATTAAAGAGAAAATAATAAATGTATACATAGTGAAGCTAAGGAACACAAAAGGGGGGAAATCTTACAAAACATTAAATTAGAATTTAATCCCTGCCTAAAATATCTCCGTTCTCTCTAATCCTTCCGACAATAAGCAAACCTATCAACTTATATTAACGGTATAGAGGCTTTATATTAAATCAGAATATTGTAAATTCTTCGGGCAAACAGGAATACTTGGAGAATTCTCTCCCCATTCTTTGTTTTACTACTGGGGATTTTAGACATTTGCAAGTAGTCTTTTTTGGTTGTTGTTCCTTCGTTTCGTTTAACTCAGTTATTCTCCAACTCTGGCGTTCATCGGAGTACTTTGTACGGGGCTGGACCTCCATCACCCAACCATGTGTACAGGGGGAGTTTTGAGTACATGAGATTCTCACCTGATAACCATTTAGATGTTTCAGTCACTACCTCCCCTCCTGACTACACACAGAGGAGGCTGACTGTGGTGGACTCAATGGTGTTTGCTCTCCTTATGTTTCACACTTTCTCTTCACATCAAACAGGTAATCAGACTTGTTATTCCTTGCTTAAGGCAAGAAAGGAGTAAAAAGCTGCTTCTCTAGGCTGGAGAAGAAGAGAGAGCCCTGTCGCTCCTGTGAGCTGTGGGGCCCGGGAAATCACTATGTAAGTGTACCCCTCAGAAGGGAGGAAGCTGTGTGTGCTTCAAGGGAGGCTAGACCCTAAGGGTGGATTTTCTCACCTCCTAGAGATCCCTGGCATCCCACACGTGGCCTAAAATAGCAGAGATGAGACCTACGTGGGCCATGCAGACTGGGACGATTGCTATTTCAGCACTAACCAGTGTAGACTGATGACAAAATACTGGAGTAGTTTTCCCTCGACATTGCATAAGACCCTGTACTCTGTAAGACCCAGACTTTGGCAGAATTCATGTGCGTGGGGGTGTGATAGCAGCCCAAGCATGGCTGGATTAACTTTCCTGCCAACTTGGTGGGCTGGTTACTCAGAATCCAAATTTAATTTGATGTAAGGAAATCTAAAAATTTTATCTGTTTCTTGAACACATGAATTTATAGACTGAGATTTACACCTATTTCGAATGTTGAATGCCTTGCCGATGGGAAGCATTTGCTGACAGCTACAAAGGATCTCACTCTGCCAGCTTGGGATGGATACGCCCCGTGAAAGTGCGCTTCTGAAAGGTGAGCTCACGTCAGCAGTGGGAAGCCGTAAAGGATGAACTACGCAAGTGGCTCGCTTTCTCAGTTTTTCCAAGGCCTTGTTGTGGGTCATGTAGCTAGTGCCCTGATCTATCCTTGCCAATACTTCTGAGGAGGGAAAAAAACAAACACCGAAGTGCACACATTGAAAAACAAACCAACAAACAGCTTCACTCTTAAAAATCACTTTATTAGGTTCAAGATGAGTTCCTGCCTGCAAAGCTCTCAACTGCTAGAAACTGTGGGCCGGGCAGCCGCCTACTTCCCATCCGAGTCAGGGTGCTTAGGGGTCGATTTGAATGGCTAATTACTGGTCACCTCACCTTCTTGTCAAAGCCGAAAGATTATACTTAATGCACAACCTAAGCCGTCCCCTGGACCTCACTTGTTTGGGCGTGCAATCACATTTCTGTTCCCCTCCCCACTTACTGTAAGTTTTAGTAATTGCCCTCTGGGCTCAAAAGAGCATCCCACCAAGCCATTGAAATGTTGAAAAGCCCCCTGACACTGGATGTGTTTATCTGCACTCAGAGAAAGAGCTGGGACAAATATGTGCGGCCTTGGTACGTGACAGGATGCAGATTTCTCGTGAGCAATTTCTTAACTTTCAGCTTAATAATAACTATAATCAACTCAGTGCCTTGAGAGTTGGTTAGGAGTGCTGTTAGGCAGTAACCAGAAACTTGAAAGATGGTAAATAAGTCATAATGGTGATCTTTTCCACAGAGTAAACATAATGCCCAGTATCCCTTTGGGTTTTGCAAAATGCAGGAATACTTGCTCAATCCATCTTTCTAGGAATAAAGAAGAGAAAGCCCCCTTTCTAGCTCTTCTCTCACCCTTCCTGCTGTGGGATTTCTAGTAGAAGGGCTTGCTCCACTCTAAATAGCTTTTTCAAGGTTGCATCCAGTGATCTGCTACCAACCAATAGGTCACCTTCCAACAGATGAGAGACTCAAACTGTGTGCATTTTGGGGTCACTTTAAAACACTAACACTAGCAGGGTGTAGATGTAGTCATCAAAAAGGAGTCAGGCAAATATTATTAAAAAAGAAAGTTTCAAATCCAGTAGACCTAATATTAAGCCTCACCACCCAGTCTGGAGCAATGAGAGCCTGGATGAGCAAGCAACTTATGAGACAAATATATGTGTAAGCCTCGCCTGTAGAATGAGGATTATAATGACTTTTGGACTCACCATCTTCTTTTCTGTGTCAAGTTCCTGTGCAATTCATTCTTCCTGCCTCGCTAATTCTAATTCATGCCTACTATCTCATTGTAAATATAATTTCTCCCCAAAAACTTTCCTGCTATGATCTCCCATATATGTAAGCTCCCCACTGCATGGTCTAACTCTTCTTTACAACACGTAAGAGGATTGTAACTAAATCATTTTCTGTATAATTTGTTTCCACTGTTGGAATATAAGTTCCAGAGGGGCAAGAGTGTTTCTTTTGCTTACTGTGGTATCCCAAGCTCCTTGTACACAGCCTTGCACCTAGCAGATGCTCAGTAAATCGCTGTTGAATGAATGGATGGTTGCTCTGTCTGTCGAGGTGATGTAAGAATTGTGAGGCAATGCCTCTAACAGAATCTGTACATAGAAGCAGTCAAATCAATCCGTTTCAGCTTTATTCCTCCTTCTCTCTTTCACTGGTGTTTGATAGATATACTCCTTTCCCCACTTTCTTCTACAAACTCCAGATTGTTTATTTCCTGGCAAAGAATCATAATTTTAGAGCTGGGGGTATAGAAGGATTCTCACTTTATGGATCCTCACATTAGGGACACAATAGTTGAAGTCATAAGAGAAGTTGTTCATTGTCAGGGTCATATAAATCTATGTGATGATGATGGTGGCAGTGGCCCATTTGGAGCAGCCACTACAAGGATGCCAGCTGCAGTGAGATGCAGCTGGGGCTGTGAACTCTGTGGTGCTGGCAGTGGCTGGGAACAGGTGATCCCAGCAGAAGCCCTGCACCCTACCAAGCTGGTGGGGTGAGAGCTTGTGCTCCCAGGTACAGATGCAGCTGCCTAGCCACCCAGCTGCAGCTCCAGATCCATGCATTCCTTTGCTCTCAGGAGCCCAGGAAGCCCCCTGCCCCTGCAGGCTTGGAAGTGCCTGCTCCTGCTCCCTGGCCTTACCCTGTTCCCGAGCCCACTTCAATGCAAAGTAAAGTTGTAGCTGAGCCTGGGCACTGTCTCAACCTGGTCAGGTATGTGCATGTTTGGAACAGCACTGACATGCCAGCCCCTTCTCCCCCCACTGCCTCAGTCACCTCTGGACCTTGAGTACTGACAAATGTGGGAGGGAGGCCAGGGGACTGAGGGTGGCTTGGCACAGGCCTGCAGGTGTCTCTCAGTGCGGACAGCCTGGTCACTATGGATGGCATGTTGATAGCAGAGGGAGGCAGACAGGTTCCTAAGTGGGAAGAGGTAGGTCCCTGGTTCAACCTCGTCTTCAAGCCAAGGATAGTCTGGAGGCTGGGCTCCCAGTTCCAGGTGGAGTCCCTGACCCAGGTGAGAACTCATGGTACTTTTTCCGGGCCTGCCCATGGCTTCTCATGGACCAATCAGCATGTACTTCCTCCATTTTTGAGCCCATAAAAACCCCAGGCTCAGCCAGACTCAGACACTCATTAGGACAACCTGCCTGCAGGTAGAAACTACCCACTTCTGGTCTCCTGAGAGCTGTTCTGCCACTCAATAAGCTCCTCTCTGCCTTGCTCACCCTCTAGTTGTCTGCAAAACCTCATTCTTCCTGGATGTGGGACAAGAATTTGGGACACACTGAACAGTGGAAGTGAAAGTAGATGCAACATGTTCCTGGCTGGCTCATTGAGCTGCAGGCAGTGACACACTCCCAGACTGTGGAAGTGAAACATTGTCACCCTTCTGGGGGCCCAATCCCCAAGATTCCCTGAGCCAGGGCTGTTGTAACACTATAGCCCTCCTATGCATCACTTGCACTTCACAGCCACCCCACACGATGGGAAGCAGCAGTGGGGCCAGGCCAGTCCAGGAGCTCCAGGCCAGAGTGGGACAGTGGAACTAAAAGAACTATAACACAAATAGGCTGAAATACGTCTTCTATGCCCCCACATACATGCCCTCACTCGCTGCCCTGCAGGTGACAAGAAGGAGAGAAGAGTTGCAGCCCTTCTGGAAGCCCAGACCTTGGGGCTTCCTGAGCCAGAGCTGTGCCACACTGTAACACCCTCTTTGGGGTTCTGCAGTTCCTGGCATCTCCAAGCTTTCAGGTACCACTGCATTCCCTTTGTCCATCCAGACACTGGTGCCTGCAGTGGAAGCCACTTGGGGTATGCAGCCTTGCATAAAGCCAGTGCCTGTGCCGGCACCTGGAGTTGCCCACTCTGCTGCAGCGTCTGGTGTGCTTGGCTGTGTACAGCAGCCAGACCCTGCCCATGCTCACGCACCCCATGCCACTTGGTGCCTGACTTGCCCTTAGAAAGCATGGGATCTGGTCTGGTAGCGCGGGCCAAGCACAGCCTGCTGGGCTGAGTGAGTGAGACAAGCCCAGCAGGAGTGGGCAAAACCCAAGCAGAGGCCCTGCTGGCCACAGAAGTTTCCCCACTGGTGAAATGACTCCCGAAACATTCTGTGGCAATGGTGCATTCAGCCCAAGATCTCTGGCTTCTGCTTCTTTGTCTATAGCTCTAGCCTTTGTATTGCACTCAGTATATGCTGTATTTTACTTTTTATTTCTTAGTCCCCAACATTTGCTAAAACTTTTGCCTAAATAGAGGGCAGTCTGACCTGGCTGAGACTGGTTTTTTTTTCTTTTCGTTTTTTCGTTTTTTTTTTTTTTTTTTTTTTTTTTTTTTAAGACAGGGTCTCACTCTGTTGCCCAGGCTAGAGTATAGTGGAATTATCATGGCTCACTGCAACCTCAACCTACCAGGCTCAAGTGATTCTCCTGTCTCAGCCCCCTGGGTAGCTAGAGCCACAGGTGCATGCCACCACACCTGGCTTATAGAGGTGGAGTTTTGTCTGGCAGAGACTTTTAATGAGAAAAAAATTTCTTACCAAAATTGAGCATACATTAACAACTTGCAAGCAAAATAGTCTAAGAAATTTGCTCTAAACCTGAAAAGAGGGCAGATTTCATTTGCCATAGGTAAGGCAACTGAAATAAAATGTTACATTTTTAATGTTTTTTTTCAAATCCAAAGAGACATTCAGTGTTTTCTTCTTTTGTTGCATGATTTGTCAGAATTCATACTGTAAACCTTTCATTAGTTCACTGCATGGTTCAATGCCAAAAGGGATCAAAATTCTGGATTTTTTTGGTTCTGATACATTTGATCTTTGATGGTTTATAGATAATTTGGAAGAAGTCAAACCTGGCTGTGAAGATTAACTTATTTTATCCAGTTAAAGGGCTGAGTAGCAGAAAGTTGTTGAAGGTCTTCATCAAATTCAGATCAAAGCCCTCTGGGAATTAATGAGTATCTTGAGAGAAACGATCTGTTAGGCCCCTAAGAGATGGCAAGATTGTCTTTTTTGGCAGACACGTATTCATCTGAGCACACTGAATGAGAACATTGCTCATTTGTTCAAGAGTGTACAGGTATATGCTCTTCATACTACACATATGGGTTGAAGGATAATGATACCTCCAAGTTGGACTTACATTCCATTGTGACCTTGCCTGGACTTAATGGAATTAGAAACTTTGAAGAAGTGCAGAACTATCTGAAACAATGAAGTCACACTTTCAGAAGCAATTCACTCATTTTGATGCTATGAATCATGCTTCCAGCCTCTTTGCTTGCTTTTGATGCTTAAATAAGGAAAGATCCTGAATGATCAAGTATCTGTTGTAACTGTGGCACTCAGCTGCTCAATCTTTGGGCAATGCTTGCATTTGCATGGCTCTGTGACAAAAAGTCCTATTTAGTTCACACCGAGACCCATCATCAACAATATAAGCTCAGAAGCAGAAGGCACCCATTATTCTC